CGAGAGGATCACTTAAGCCTACAAGTTTGAGGTTGCTGTGAACTATGATGCCATGACACTCTACCCAGGGCGACAGAGTGAGACTGTCTCAAAAAAAAAAAAAAAAAAAAGGCTCAGCGCCTGTAGCAGAGAGGTTACGACGCTGACCATATGCACCAAGGGTGAAGGGTTCAAACCTGGCCCAGGCCAGCTAAACAACGACAACTGCAACAACAACAACAAAAAAAATAGCCGGGCATTGTGGTGGCCACTGGTAGTCCTAGCTACTTGGGAGGCTGAGGCAAGAGAATCACTTAAGACCAAGAGTTTGAGGTTGCTGTGGGCTGTGACACCACAGCACTCTACTAAGGGTGACACAGGAAGACTCTGTCTCAAAAAAAAAAAAACCAAAAAAACAAAAAAACAGGAAGGGCCAGGCTAGGTGGCTCACGCCTGTAATCCCAACACTCTGGGAGGCTGAGGTGGATGAACTGCCTTAGCTCACAGGTTTGAAACCAGTCTGAGAAAGAGTGAGACCCCATCTCTAAAAATAGCTGGGCATTGCAGTGGGTACCTGTAGTCCCAGCTACTTTGGAGGCTGAGGCAGAGAATCATTTGAGCCCAAGAGTTTGAGGTTGCTGTGAGCTATGATGGCACAGCATTCTACCAAGGGCAACAAAGTTGAGACGGTCTCAAAAAAAAAAAAAAACTTCTCTCCTCTTTAAAAAATCCAACCTTTACAGGACATGAACGGTAACAATGCTGTCCTCCTACGTGAAGTAAATAAGTCTTGCAAAAGATCATAAATCAAACCAATATAGAAGAGGAGGCCAGAAACCCAAGAATCAGTGAGCTTTCCTTGGTACTACAAAGATATTCAGCAAATAGACTAATCTTTCTATATATAAATAAAAGCTGCTAAAGTATGTGCCTTTAAACTTTTCAGGACCATTGGCTGGAGAAAAGGGGCTAGCAATTTGTGGCCCTAATCCTAACATTTTCCTATCTTCTTTTTATGAACAGGAGTCACATAAAGCACTGGGAACCTGAATTCTTCAGCTAAAAACAGCTGCACTTCAGACAACAACCAAGGTTTGAAAGTGATGTTTTAAGCAGCCACTTCTTAGCAAGATTTCTTCCCGCCCTTGGTAGAGAGTCGTTGCATCACACAGCTCACAGCAACCTCCAAATCCTAGGCTTAGGGGATTCTCTTGCCTCAGCCTCCCGAGTAGCTGGGACTACAAGAGCCTGCCACAACTCCTGGCTATTTTTTTGTTGCAATTTGGCCGGGGGCTGGGTTTGAACCCACACCCTCAGTATATGGGGCGGGCACCCTACCTACTGAGCAACAGACACCACCCCTTAGCAAGATTTCTACTAAGAGAAATGCTCTAGTCCAAATCTTTCAAAGTGACACCCAAGAGTCCAATAATGGCTTTAAAGAAAAAAATGTAATAAGCACTAATTTTAACTACTAGAAATCAATTACTCTGAATGGAACCAGTTCTGAAGATTCAGACATATTCCTGAGCATAAGTATCATTTACACTAATGAAGACTGAACACACAAATGTGTGCACTCATGTGCGCAGGCACAAATATACATAAAATAATTGCAATAAAAAGCATACTGTTCATATCTCAAAAGTCATGCAATTTACTTGATCTTTTAGTGTTTACATAGATAAATGCTATATTTATGCACTCTCCCTAATATGCTTTATTAAAAAGGAAATTTAACAAAGTAATTAAAAGCTGCCTTTTTTTACTTTATTATAAAAGTTTACCTTTTTCATTTTTCTTTGTGCTGTTCTCCCATAGCTGCAAAAAAACATTCTCCCAACCTGCACCCTATCCAAAACCTAATAGACTAGAAGAGGTTTCTCTTTTTTTTTTTTTTTTTTAAGACAGAGGCTCAAGCTGTCCCCCTGGGTAGAGTGCTGTGGCATCACAGCTCACAGCAACCGCCAACTCCTGGGCTCAAGCGAGTCTCCTGTCTCTGCCTCCCAAGTAGCTGGGACACAGGCGCCCGCCACAACGCCTGGCTATTTTTTTTTTTTTTTGGTTGCAGCCATCATTGTTGTTTGGCAGGCCCAGGCTGGATTCGAACCCGCCACCTTAGGTATATGTGGCTGACGCCTTAGCCACTTGAGCCACAAGCGCAGAGCTTTAAGAGGTTTTGCAATGTGCAAACCTCCTCCACTAATCTCCAATTAGTCCTGCCAATAATGATCCTTCCTTCTCTAAACTCCAACCATATACAGAAAAAAGCTGTTTACTCTATTTTCATGTGTACACTCATTGTTTCCCCAACTAGTTCCCTGAGTACAGTACACCTCACTCCTTACTAGGGTTTGTCCTGTCATGCCTAGACACTGTGTTATGCTTTCAAGACATAACACAGTATTCTGTGTTTTCACAGAGGGATTTTTTAAAACCCTCCCCTAAAAATACTGATTTTCATATAGCTTACTAAAATGCAATTTTTTGGTTTTTCTGTTTTTAGAGACAGAGTTTCACTTTATCACCCTCGGTAGAGTGCTATGCTATCACAGCTCACAGTAACCTAACACCTGGGCTTAGGCGATTCTCTTGCTTCAGCCTCCTGTGTACCTGAGACCACAGGTGCCTGCCACAATGCCCGGCTATTTTTTTGTTGCAGTTTGGCCAGGGCCAGGGTTGAATCTGCCACCCCTCCGTATATGGGACCAGTGCCCTACCCACTCAGCCACAGGCACCACCCTAAAATGCAATGTTAATATTTTACCTCTCAATTTTTCTACAACAATCGGCTTAATTTACTTTTTATTTCTTTTTCTTTTGAGACAATGTCTTGCTCTGTTGCCTGGAGTAGAGTACAGTGTCATCATCATAGCTCACAGCAGCCTCAAACTCCTGGGCTCAAGGGATCCTCCTGCCTCAGCTTCCTAAGTAGCTGGAACTACAGGTATGCACCATCATGCTGCCCAGCTAATTTTTCTATTTTTACTTTTGCAGAGAAAGAACCCAGCTATGTTGTCCAGGTTAGTTTTGAACTCCCAGCCTCAAGCAAAGCAATGCTCCCATTTCAGCTTCCTAAATTTCTAGGATTACAGGAATAAGCCACTCTGCCCCACCTATACTCTAATTAAAGGACTATGCTTTGGAATGAGAGAAAGCTAGGTCAGAATTTCACCACTTACTATATGTGTTACCCTGAGCAAACTAATTCATCTCTCTCAGACTTGCTCCTTATCTGGATAAAAGAGTTATTGATGAGATACTACATGTAAACCTCTTTACCTATGTAAACCATCTGCCTAATAAGTGGTCAACAAATATAGTTGTTATTGTAACTTTGTGACTAATGAGGAAAGAAGAAGAGTGACAAAGAATTAGTACTAAAATATACTTTGTTTCATTATTAACATATGCCTATATCCATGCCTAAAGAAATGCCAAAAATGGCATTTCTGAAAGAAAAACATGATAAGGAATTTAACACTGTCAATCTGCCATTTAAATAAAATTTACTCCCATTTAAATTCTGTTCACTATTTGATTAAAATTAAGCATTTAGCAATTATAAGGCACTATTGATATGTTATATCCTTAATTTTTTTTTTAAAAAACTTGAATTGGATTTTTGGTGGAGTAGATCATCGGGGTAGAATCACAGGAGCAGCAAAGATGATAAATATAGTTTCTCCTTCTATATTTAATATCTAACAAATCTGTTTACTTTCTGTTCAAACTCTGCTCCAAAAATTAAGCAACAAACACCTTTATACAATAACCATATAGGGTTTACTGATATGCACTCTTTCAACCACGTTAGGCAGTCACAGGAAACACAAGGACATCCACCAATCACCTCCTAAAGCTCAACAAAATCAGGGCAAAAATCCATGAACCCCAAATTATAGGACAATGGACTCTGTGACCACAAGTTGATGCAAAAAGTTAGAAACAAAATCTTGTAACAAAGAAAGTAAGAATCTGAAGACCAAAACACAAAGATTTTAACTATTCAGAGCCTAACCACAAAGGCAATCAATGTTACAAATTCAGAAGGATTATCTTAAATTTTGAATCCTTGGAACCTAGCACAGTGCCTAGATCAAATACCATGATGTATTTGCTAAATCAAAGAACCAAAATATCTAATAAATGGTACAAATGAGAAATCTAGAATACAGCAATTCTCCCTCTTTTACAACATTAAAATAGATACAAGAGCTGTTAAACAACAGATATATCAAAAATAAAACATTAAAGAAAATCTACTATTAATCTCCAGAATGCAAGAGCCAAGAGCAAATGCCCCACTTGTGAGCCTGTGACATTTTAAGCAATTAATTCAAACTGTATATTCTACCTCTGGCATCAATACATGCTTACTGTCAACAACTATAATCACCAGGAGGTGGCCATACTTTAGTTATCTATAGTGCCATTTAATTTCTTTTTACAATTATGGCAACACTGTGAATATAAGGAGCAAAGGTATAGTTTGTTTTTATAAATTTTAGACATTACAAACAAAGCAAAATTCTTATTTCTGAATGTTTTCTTTGGGATGATGGCTCACATCTCGTTTTCCATAATTATTTCCTCCAAAACTTAACAATCTCCTCTCCATTATGGAGCTCTAAACAATATTCTCAAAAAAGGCACTACTCTAAAAATAGGTTATCGCCATATTCTGATTAGTAGCAATCTAAGACTCCTTCTCTACACAAAAAAACCTACCCATTGAAAAATGAGGCAAATGTAAGAACACTCGATGCATGTAAAATTAACCTAACACTTGTACACATATTTTGCTTTTTGTTTTTAAGATGTTAGGCTATAGTTAACATTCTTCTTATAATGATACAGTTTGGAGAAAATTCTCCAGCATACCATTCCTATCACGAAGATAGCAACAAGGAAGAGCAAGCACATACTTCTGTACAATAGATTCAGACACAATTGATGAAAGACAAATCCAATCTTCCCTTAAAAACAGACCCACTTTCCTGAAACACCAGTTTACTTACCTCTCCCATCGCTCTTCCCTCCAGAGCAAGTGCTTGAAAATCATGATTCAGTTCATCCATAGAACGTACCTATTGTTCAAAACAGAGAAGGGAAAAGCTTCAAGTCAGCCCTGTGAATTTTACACACATACTACAAACAACAGAAAAGTTTTTCTATGTTTACTTTCAGATACTAACAAAGAAAACACCAATAATCAAGTGACAGATTAAACATTCACTTACCTTTGACCATCAGGGTTCAGCAATGACCCCTGCTTTCTCCCTCCCATTCCCTTTTATTTTCAAAACATGAAAAACACAATCCAGGCTCAGCGTCAGCCACAGACACAGAGGCTGGCGGATTCAAAACTGGCCTGGGCCAGCTAAAACGACGACAACTGCAACAAAATACAGCCAGGCGTGTGGCGGGTGCCTATAGTCCTAGCTACTTGGGAGGCTGAAGCGAGAGAATCGCTTAAGCCCAAGAGTTTGAGGTTGCTGTAAGCTGTGACTCTACAGCACTATACTGAGGGTGACACAGTGAGACTCTGTCTTGAAAAATAAACAAAAAAGAAAACCACATAATCCAGAAAAAGAAAAAGCAAATTCCATCACCTGAGAATTATGTTAGCTATTTTTCATATATTTTAATGTAGTAAGTAAAGACCAACAAGCTGAAGGGCAATGATGTTTTAGAGATGATTATGTGACCTAAATTTGGCTAATAAGTCAAAAGATCACAGTGTTCCTCCCCAGTTGTGAATAATTAAGTATAAATTAGGGAATCCATTTAATCCAACCCCCCATTTCTTTAGCAAACCTCAGTGGATCATGCTGCAAACCACATAATGGAGTCTCCCAACAATTCTCCATATTGAAAGATCCCTGTAGGCTCCCAAACCTCAAAATCAGAGGGGGAAATAGCACATATCACAAAATTCCCTCCAACTTTTACTTATCGTTAAATAAATGTACTCCTACCCACAGCATAACAATCTCTTTAGGCTTCAATTTACTCGTCTCTAAACTCATTACTATACGGTAGTAACATCAAGGACCAAATGTGCAACAGACTGTTCAAAATGGTTATAACTGAAACCCCTTTGTTGCCCACTAGTCCACTGGTCTTCTCAATGATGAACAGCAAGTGATCTCTGCTGCCTGATACTAGAGTCCCTACTTAACCCTGGGCAAGGAATGCAAGAGTATAATCCCAGCCAGGTGGCGTATGCCTATAGCTCCACTACTCAGGAGGCTGAGGTGAGAGGTTTACTTGAGCCCAGAGTTCAAAAGAAGCAGTTTCTTGCTTATTAACAAGGACATATCTTCTGCCTACCTGTAGAAGACTGCTTAATGCCTAAAGCAGTAGTCTCTCAAACCCACTCCTCTGATCACCACTACCTCCCAATGTTGGTGTGCAATTTCTAGCAGTGAGTAATTTCAAAAAAGGTTAGGTCAGGACCAAGCAAGGAGATGGAAGAGTATGAAGAGCATAACCAGAATACAGTTAAGAAAACCAATTTAAGGGGCAGTGCCTATGGCTCAAAGGAATAGGGCACCAGCCCCACATGCCAAGGGTGTCGAGTTCAAACCCAGCCCTGGCCAAACTGCAACAACAAAAAAAAACAGCCAGGCATTGTGGTGGGCGCCTGTGGTCCCAGCTACTCAGGAGGCTGAGGCAAGGGAATCACCTACATCCAGGAGTTGGTGAGACTTTTTCCAGGAGAAAAAGTGAGACTCTGTTTCTACAAAAAAAAAAAAAAGACAGAGTCTCACTATACTGACCTAGGTAGAGTGCTGCTGCATCACAGCTCACAGCAACCTCAAACTCTTTGGCTTAAGCAATTCTCTTGAGTCAGCCTCCAGAGTAACTGGGACTAAGGCACCCACCACAGTGCCTGGCTATTTTTTGTTGTAGTTGTCATTGTTGTTTGGCAGGTCAGGACTGATTTGAACCCACCAGCCCTGGTGGATGTGGCCGGAGACCTAGCTGCTGAGCTACAGGCACTGAGCCTTAAATTAATACTTTTAAAACTTACAGCTGAAACTATGTTACAAATGATACTATGCCCTTAAAATATAACAGTCTTGAAATGCTCACTAAAGGGTCAGGGCCTGTGGCTCAAGTGGCTAAGGCGCCAGCCACATACACCTAAGGTGGTGGGTTCGAATCCAGCCCGGGCCCACCAAACAACAATGACGGCTG